TATTAGCTTATAGAAATTAAGTAGAAACTCTCTATAGCGTACTACTTATAAACTAATAGAAATATAGAAATTATTAATTAATATCTTAATTAGTATCTACGTCTATTTATTAACTACTACTAGAATAATTAGTTAGACCTTCTACTCTATATAAACTAGATATAAGCTATATTACTATATAAAACTATAGAATTAATAGTATATAAAATTAAATTTAGATACTAGCTAATATACTACTAGAATTAGAAGAAATATATAATAAAAGCCTCTACTCTATATAAGTATCTATTATACTAGAAAGCTTAGAATTTTACTAAAAAGTAATATAATACTATAAAAAAAGCTACTAAAATTATATAAAGTAATATTATAAAAGTATAAGCTAGATAGGCGCTCTAAGTAAATAAAAAGCGCTAAGAACTTAATTTTACTATAGGTAATCTTATCTACGTTAAACCTTATAGCTTTTTAATAAATTAGTCTAGTATAAAGCTTAATTAATAGATATATAGCTTTTACTTAATTATTACTATAAAGAGTTACTTCTTCTAGCTCTAGCTATTTACGTATATACGTATATATAATATCTTTTATACTAATTAGCTAAAAAAAGCCTTAGAGCTATTACTAGAGTAGGTAGAGCCTAAGTAGCTACTTATTAAAGTTAATAGTAATCTAGAATAGTCTATATATAAAATTCTAGATAGCTATCTTTATTAAAATTATCTTTAATACTACGCTATATAGATTACTTATAATTCTAACTCTATCTAGTATAATACTATAGGCTTTATTAATACTTTCTATAAGATAAGAGACTTTTATATAGTATACCTAGATAAGCTAGAGCTACTATTATAATTAAATACTTAAATTAAGGTGTATAAAAAAGAGAAGACTCTAGAAGAGATAGTAAAGAATTTAAAACCTATAAGAGTAGAAGATATAAAAGTAACGTAAAGGCGCTACTAAGTAATTTAAGACTCTACTAAGCTTATAGTATTATTTAAGAAGAAAGTCTATAATAAAGCTACTCTATAGACGTAGAAATAAGTCTTCTAGTTTAAATCTCTATAAGCTTCTTTCTCTCTAGTAGATAAGAGCTCTATAGAGAATAAAGTAACTAGAGAGAAGATAGTAGCTATAAAAGCGCTTCTAGTTTAAAACTAATATAAATATACTTACTATAAGCTAAAAGAAATAGTTAAGAGTATAATATAGAAGTTTTAGAAGAAGAAAGATCTAGAAGGCGTATTTTAGAGCTTAAGAATAAGCTCTCTCTATAAGAAAGAGTAATATAATAGTCTAGTTTAGAAATTTACCTTAGTTATATAACCTTAGGTTACGTAACTTTATTATATAACCTAGTCTAGTATCTTAGCACTTAGCACCTCTATATATAGAGCTTCTTAGAGTATTCTTTTACTTCTTATCTTTAGATAGCTAAATTTAATCTAACCTACTCTACTAGTACTCTTTATTCTTATAGCTTATAGAGATAGTACTATCTATAGCTAACTTACCTAGCTAGATATTTAGAGACGCTTATAGTAGTAGAAACTATAGAGCTAGCTCTTATACTAGCTATAAGCTAGCTTTAATTATAAAAGTATTTTCTTTCTAAATTTACTTTCTTTTATATAAATTACACTTCTTTTTCTATATATTAGCTACTTAAAGCTAGATAACTTTAGACTCTATAAGTACTAGCTAATACGCTATTAGCTTATTACCTTTCTTAAGCTAATTAAGTAACTTAATAATATAAGTTAGTAATAAATTAAGATACTATATAATTTTTCTCTAAATTAGAGTTAATTATAACTTTAATTTAGTAGAATTACTAGGTATTTTATACTTCTAGATAGTAGTATTATTAGTAGAGAGTATTAGCGTACATAATTAAACTTTAAGCTTTAATACTACTAAATCTAGGTTAAATAAAACTAAGCTAGCGCTTCTAAATTCTACTTTAATATTATTATCTATAATTAACGTATAAAAAGCTACGTAAAATATAAGTAGAAACTTAGTTTTTATAATATAGTTAATATAGCTACGTATTAGAATCTTAACTTAGTAGCTATATACTATCTTTAATAGTAAGAAGTAGCTAATATTAAGTAGCTATAAAAAGTATAATAAATATACTAGTATATAGAAAGCTATAATTTTATTCTTTTTATAGTACTATTAGAATTTAATAGAGCTATAGCTTTTATAGCTATCTAAAATTAGTAGATAATATATACCTATAATATAACTCTTAGTATACGCGTTAAAGTACTTTAACTATATAATACTAACTTTATTTATTATCTAGCTACTTTTAGAAATAGCTATAACCTAGTTACGTAGTAGCTAGCTATCTTTATACTACGCTAAGAGGTAGTTCTTACTTATAATAATAAGAAATAGTAGAATCTATATATTATCTACTACTCTTACTATTATAACTACTAAAATCTACTTATAATTATCTAGTTAAAGACTCTTTAGTTATAATTATCTCTTAGAGCTAGTAACTACTATCTAAGGTAATATTATTTCTATTATAAAGCTAGATTTATTAAAATTATACGTGTCTTTATTAGTAATACTATACTTTACCTTTATATTATCTACTAGATTAAACTACGTCTAAATAATTATAGAATCTTTTTACTTTACTTTCTAATAGTTATACCTATAATTAAGCTATATTTTAAGCTCTAGATAGCGTATAATAAAGTAGTTTAGCTAGTTCTTATCTATAA